TAGCAAATGGAGCGCAGCCCGGGTGTCGATGGGTGTCAAGGAACGATCACGTGACGAGGCGCGAGCCACACGGGACGCGAGAGGCCATGGATTCGAAATTCGAACTCTAATCTCGCGTGCGTTCCGCGTGCAACGTATTTATATACACGCTCGCACACATGCACCGTCACGGTTCATCGGGTACGTTCGGTTTCATCTATGACGCGCATGAATGTATCATTTTATCCTTCTCCAATATTCCGTGAATAACAAGGATGGAATTATACATCGTGAGGATCACGAGTGAAACACAGAACGCACTCACGGAAGACGCGGAAGGCACGGCGACGCGCTTCCGCGTTCGATGCTCGTTCCGATAAACGGCGTAGATCAAAACACCGATAAATATGCTTACGCACCTTTCGACGTCTCACGCTCATGTTTTATTCGGCGGACGACACGACGGTAGACCACGACGATGACGACGGGATAAAGAGACGATTGACTCGGACAAAGAATCGGAAACCGTCACGTCCGTCACGCGAGACTCACAGAACAGTCATAGCACTCATAGCGCGGCAGCAGAGCGAACTGCCGGGAGCGAATTGAGCGGCGTGGCGGCGTGAGGCTCACCGGCAGGCACGAGTTTCACGTTCGTGAATACGAAGCTTTGCCGGGGAGCAGTTCGCTGTTCGTTGCGTGCGCCGACGAGTCATTGCGATATGACGCGAAGGACTCGATAATACCTCGACTGTCTCGAGACCCACTGCCATACGCAGTGTAAACTGTACGCCCTGGCAATTCGCGGATGATCGATGAGAGTACAAAGGTGATTTAGAGAAGGAGCGAGCGAGTGAACGAAACGGTCGATAATCCGGAGTTTCGAGGCTCCCACTTCGAACGTTTGATAGACTGCGACAAATGTGTATAGCAAACTACCTAAATATCACTAATAAGATCGAACGGCGATCGAAATAGAAGTAATTTTAGCGCCAAGCGTCAAAACAGGGGATGTTAAAATAGTAATTAGAAAGAGAGCGAAATAGCGCTGACTGATCGCTACGCGTGTTTGAGAAGATAATAAATACGTCACGTAATTGCAAAAAAACAAGAAAGATGAAAAGACGCTTTGTCACGGTCTGATGTCTTTTATGCGATTTATACATATAAAAAAAAAAAGATCAACCGGAAAAATCCGAAGAATTCGGCTCGACGATGACTCGAAATTCGAGTCTTTGCGTGCCGATGATCTCAATAATCACTTATCGCGTTGCAAAGAACGCAAAAAAATTCTTGTTTGTACTTATGTAATTATGCAATACGGTTAGATAACGAACGCTCGACGACACGCTCGTTGCCATGAGTTGGCAATTTGTCGCAGAATTTGTTAGTTTATTGATTGTTAATGTATCTGTAAATTCATTTAAACCATCTGTGACCATGCGAGGCATTGATTGATGATTGTTGTAAGTAGATTTGCATGTATATATGTATATATATATTTTTTTTCGTGACATAAATTGTGTATCTTGAAACGAGATGACAATATATAGACTTCTACATAGAAATCTGTGGATAAAAGTTACAAAAATGAGCAAATTCATCAATTATAAATATTCTAGTAAATTCGCTCATTCTTGTAATTTCCACTAAGTAATTGTGTCATAAAATAGTCAAACCCCTTCCAATAAACGAGAATGGATTGAATTCGATGAAATAAAAAAAAATTTTTTTTTTAATTACGCATTTGCGAACGTTAAAATAAATCCTTTTCAATCCGAATGCATTTTTATTCATTTATAGAAATTGGATGAAGCATATTTCTATGTCTTTCAATCTAAAAATAATATCAGCTTTTCCGTGCCACGTTTCAATTCAAAATTCTGAATAGAAAATGCAGTTTTTCAATCCAATTGAATTCTGTTGAATCTAATTGAATCCAATTGAATCAATAAAAAAACATGAGATATACTTCAAGTTATATATATATATATATATAGCAGTATGTATGCAGGAGTGTATTCAAAATTCCATTTCTCATTCAATTTCTTATATTAATAGCTAAACTTGAAGTATATCTCATGTTTTTTTATTGATTACTGTGATCAATCTTTACGCAGTCGGTTCTTATATTTAATATCGTCGAAAGTCTTAAGATGTCATAAACCAATCATAGAGCTGTATCAACATTTTAAGACTTATTAATTAATTAAGATAGCCTTGAAATAACAACAGATTTATTGGCTTAAATTTGTCAGGTAGAATTGTTGTTTCGTGTACATATGTGTTCTTACTCTAGAAAGGTCTGCATATATTTCGTATATGTGCATAGATAAGATATGTCGTCGAAATATTTATGAAAGAGATAAGATGTATCGAAATGAAAAAACCTGTATACATATGTTTATAATAATTGATATATATATATACATAAAATATTGTAATATATATAATGTGTGTGTGTATACAGGGTGTTCAGTAAGAAAAAATCGAAGGAGTGATTCCCAAATTGATGTTAAAACGGAAATCAAAAATAACAAAATTGCGATGGATGCTTTGTTTTTTAGTTATAAATGTTTTAATATTCACGTGATTGAGTATTTTCATGTGAATATTTCAATATTCAAAATTGGAAAATTAAGAATAACAAAATGGAGGCTTTATTATAATTCCTTGAAATTTCTTGATATTTACGTACTTTAGATGTTTCTTACGTGAAAAAAAAAAA